GATTGTTTCCAGTTTGTGAACCAAAAAACTTAGAAGTTCTAGGAGCATCAGCATCATCCTTTCTGTCTTGGCAATACTTTCCATTAAGGTGACACTCTCAAGTCATTTTTAGGAACAACTTAATGGCCAATTTATAGCTGTAAAAGCTATTTCTTCTGCAGGAAAGGAAGAAAAACATCTAAAAGGTTCCCTGTGTTGCAGATGTGTTCAGAAGAAAACAAAGTTTGCAGAAATCCCATTCCTATGCAACTTAATTACAAGAATAATGATAGAATCATTCATTTTTCTGCAACTAGGTCTGAAGTTTATTGAAGTCAGCATATAAATTCTCATGAGGTTCTGAATCTGGTATCACAAGCGCATACCAACATTTCAACAGCTCTTCATGCTTTATTCATATAAGTAGCAAATATATTGAGTGTTAAATTTTGAACAGTGTCTCTTGTCAATTAATTGATAAAAGAATAAAGTTCTTTCTGAGGGCTGATTTTAATCATGCAATTAAAGATTTGGCAGATTCCTTGTAAATATTAGCATCCTATGCTTTCTTTCACCCTGAGGTCAAGTATTTTTTAGAAGTTCTGTACATTTTATTTTTTAAATCTTTCTCTGTTGCTCTCATTGATTGAAGTAGTTTAAAAAAAATGAAAAAGATTTCAATTTATCTTCCTAATTTTCAACATTTTTTGGTTTAAACTTCTTTTATTTAGCAAAGCCACTCCAGAGCTCTGAATTTAAGAAAGGATTTGCCTTAATGTCTGGAACAAACATTTTTCCTTACTGTCAGAAGTTAGCATGTTTTTATGCCAGTAATATATCTATCGTCTTAAAGACAGAGTTTTGGAAGTGGGGTGTAGAGTATGCCACAAATAATCACACTGTATAAATACAAAATATCATTGACCTTTCCTCTCCCTTGATGCTGACATTTTCTTTATTTCTTTCTCCTTTTAGTTTCCCCACTTCTTCCATGGGCTTTAGAAATCTTTTACATCTCCCAGCTTTAGAGAGAAATAGAAAGTTATTGTGTGCCTTCCATAAATTTATTGGGATTAAATTAATCAAATCCAGTAGCAAAGTCTACTGATTAAAAAAAAAAAAAGAGACCAGAACTTCTCAAGATGTAAAAAGAACACTTGTAAGAATTTTCCTGTTACTGTTTCTAACCTCACAGTCAAATATGCTCAGATATCAAAATTGTTACCAAATACAAGTTATAGTCTATCATGAATTTCAGTTAGTTTTACTAATTCTTCATTTAAGCCTGTTATTCTAGAGACAAGCACTATATCACTATGCTGCAAAGATTCATTACAGCTGTATAAATGATTTCAGGCAAGAACTTCAAATTCAAGCATTCCTTTTCAGATTTTGAAACCTTTAATCAAAAGAGAAAGATTAAATAGAGCAATTACATTATAATAAAGACTTCTACAATCTTAGAAAAATACGATAGCCTGCATACTCACAGCACTTTAATTCAAAATAGGGAAAAGCAATTTTCATCAGCTATTGATTTATCAATATCCTTGATTTCATGAACATTTTTATTTTTTACAGTTGTGTTTTAATTAAATAGCATTATTCAAACACCAAATTTTATAACCATCACTTAAAACTGACTGCTTGGGATTTTTTTTTTTTTTAATAGCTCTGTCACCACCGTTTCTTTCCTGCAAAGTATAACCAATTTTACATCTCAGATCCCCAGCTGATCTGAGACTGTTGCAATTTTGCCTGCTTTAATGTTGCATAGGGATATATTCCTGTCAGATATAACCCATGTACTGGTGGCATTTCTCCATGTTCTATCTTAACTGTATGTCTGTAAGAGGTGAATGGCATTCCTTCAGCAGGTATTAAATAGAGGAATATACTATCGACATGAGGGAAGTAAAATTCACTGAGGTTTGCAGGAAGTTCTTGCAGATGTCATTCAGGTTTTACCCAATACTCTCACACTAATATTACTCCCCTGAGATAAATGAGTGAAGTTTGTAATTCTGCTCTTACCCAGTACTCTGACAAACTTTACTCTCTTGAGATGAAAGAATGCTCTTTGAAATATTAATATTTGAGAACTGTTACATTTTCCATTTCCTCAGCCATAAAGGGATTGGGGTATAGAATATGTTCATTTTCTCTTTCAAAGAATTCTATTTTTACTACTGTTGAGATGGAAACATAGTGTTCCAACTTCCAGGTGCACTAATTACTTACCAAGATAATCTCTCTAATGCTCAGTGAAAATTGAAGTAGTTCTATAAAATGGATCAACTTGCAAAACCTACTCTGGTGAAATTTCCCTATTCGGGAATCTCACTTAACTGTGAGGGATAGAGAAAAGGAAGAAAAAGAAGGTGCTTAGATAAACTTAGTATTTGCAGTAATACCTGAAGTGTAGATAATTTACACTCATTCCTCTCGCTACCAGTAAGTAACTAAACTCTAAGTGACACTTCCCAGAAGACTATGCCAACTTCAAATAGACTTTTTTAATATCTCTGTGCACTTATAATGACTAAGGGTAACAAAAAACAACACCATATTTATTGAATTGTGAGTTTTTAAATGCCTAAATACTACATTAATTCTAATAGACATTTTTCATATCAATCTTTTGTAATATCCACTCATTACAGAAAAAAGAATTCAAGTAAAGCAACAAGCAGTGTCACCAATTTACTGGGCTAGCACCTAAATCCAGTGCCCAGACTGTGCTCATAGTTTTTTTTTTTTATTTTGTTTGTTTTTGTTTTTGTTTTGTTTTTTTTTTACTATGAACTATACTCTGAGATGTATTGATATTACTTCAAATTTATATTAATAATTTATTACAATTTTTTTTAGACCTACAAGCAAATTTATAGACTTCACAGAGAAGTTAAAATTGTATACTACAAATGAGAGGTTATTCTGTTTTATACAGAAAAGTAAATAAATTCATGCCATGTGTATACTGAAATGGTTTCTAGTATAATTTTCTGGTAGGCCTAGGGAAATTAATGGCAGCATACAATCATTTTAATGCCAATTTCATTTAAAGTAGAAAGAGGTTAGTTGGCTGTGTGGGAGGCAAGGGAAGAGAATTTATGGTTATGAATAAAATACTTAAGTTCTTCATCTAGACAAGATTGCTGAGAGAAAAGGATTGAGAAACCTAAAATCAATAATGCCATGAAAACACTTCAGGCAAGAGTCAAGAGCATGAATCTACTGTTGAAGACTATTGAGAAAACATATAGCAAAAAACAGTGATATAGAGAGTCTATTTTCCTTCAAAAACTATACATCAAAAAAGTTTGAAAATGTTTTGGAAGCTACTAGCAGCAGATTAATTTTACATTAAAGTCTAAAACAAGATTTTGTAATGAAGAGTGAAACATCACCCAGCTTTGAAACCAGTGACAAAACTTTATCTTATCCCAGCAATTAAAGCATACAGCGCGACTCCTCAGTGATGCCCCTTCCTCAAAATATTTTTAGAGGTTACATGTCTATAGGTATATGTAAATCCTGTCATGCCACTCCTGCAAGACTGTTTAAATGATTAGAAATATTTGTTATGTGACAAGCCCACAAAGAAACAGAAGTATATTCATCCACTGTATGGAAATGCAAAGATATGTGATAATCCTTATTGGTTTCTAGGTCTCATAACTTGAGTCTTTTTGACAAGTAGTTTTTCACTGAAAAGTAATTTAAGCTTGAATAATTTAAGTTGATTAAATTGCAAATATTTCTTGTATTTGTTCTCATGTTGTTCATCAGTGCAGTGCTAAACAGAGACTATAGAGTGTGAGCTTGGGATAACTGATGGTGCTGCCATGGGGTCCACAATATCCTCCCATATACTACCAGGCTTTATGCCTCTTTCCCCGTGAAAGTTGTTGTAAATAATGATTCTGACAGCTCTCATTTTTCCTTTGTTAGATCTTAGTGACTGCTATTAGATATTTATTTTTAGAAGCACAAACATATTACACAAAGTACATAAGCCCATGGAAGATGAAGAAAATGTCTCCATAGTAACATTTCTGGTAGAATGATTTATGACTGTTTGTAGACAGATCAACAAACTTTGGCCCTAATTCTGTATCTCCTGAGCCCAGATGTGATTTCAGAAGTGTAAATCCTCATCTTCTGTCCTCTCTAGATACTCAGCAACAATGCTTTTTTTTTTTTCCAGATGTGAAGAAACATGAAAATTTATATTTGATATTAGGCTTTATATAATCAGCTGCAAGGGCAATCAGGAACATCCCCTCAAGGCAAATGTTCATTTTGGCTTTGTTTATTCAGTGGGTTTTTTGTTTGTTTTTGTTCTGGTTTTTATTTTGTTTTGTTTGTCATGAGAAATCCTACCATAATATTGTATTTTAGGCTTATCTTATAATACATTTAGATCTATCCTAAATACAAGAACACTGGTTTGAAATGAGTACTTCATACATATGTTCAAAAAAGGCAATAAAATTCTCACCTACAGAATAATATTCATGATGATAAAGAGCATCATGCTATATTTTAAAGGCAGAGGTTCTTTAAAAATGCATTCAGGAATTTTTTTGTTTGTTTCTTGGCATTACTGCACCATCTGCATACTGCACTGTAGTGTGGTTACTTCAGCCAGGTTCTGAGCCATTTCGCAGGTTCACCTATGTAAACATGACCAAAGCTAAATCCCCTCAGCTTCTTTGCAGTTTGCATTGAAGGCTGTATAACTTAGTTTCTGTTCCTGTATTTTACATGTTCATACCAAGCTTTACTACACAAATCAGAAATCTAAAGTGAAGTCACTCACTATACATAATGCTAAATGGTTTTCAAATTCCCCCATGAAATTGGTTTGATTCCTGATCCCTTAATATAAATGTGTGTGTGTGTGTATATATATATATATATATATATATATATATATATATATAAATATCCCAAGATAACTTTGTGATAAAAAGTGATTAGTTAATCACTAGTCCTAATTATGTTTTCTCTTTCAGCTGTTTGAGTTCATGAATTTCCTAGCTGAGAATGTCATCTTCTGTTACATGGGACTTGCTCTGTTCACCTTTCAAAACCATATCTTCAACCCTCTTTTTATATTTGGTGCATTTGTATCCTTTGTGCTGAACTCTTTATCTATCCAAGTGCATATTTACATTTGTGTGTATGTACAGATGTGTGCTCCATGTTTAAGAAATTAGAAGTCAACAGGCAAACCCATCAGCTCCTTAGATCCCCAAAAACCTAATTTTTATGATGTCCAAAGAATTCAGCTTTATTATGTGTATCTGGAAATCTGGTTTGATGCACATATGCTGGTGGCCCTACAACTGCTGCTGCTGTTTTACAGACACGCTATCTCCACACAGAAATGTACCTACCATAAGCAGAACTTCCCCAATGCTACATAAATTATATTAAGTCCCAAGGAATAAATTAACAGCTGAGCATTTCTCAGATCTTCCCTCTTTTGTATGTGATATTTCTAGTACACGCAGAATTATTGACATCACATGTGATAGAGATACAAGTAGGAAGTCTAGTCTTGGTTTCTGCCATTGTTTCTCAGCCAGTCCATTACCCACTTACACAGTGATATCAATTCTTTTCTCTTTAATTGCTCACATAATGATTTTTCTTCAACTCAAAGCAGCAGCTCTTTTGCTCATCACTTTTTGATGAACAGTCGAAGCTTTGAAATTTGGGATTACACAGTTTACTTGCATTAAATTTTTATGCAATTTCCAAACAATTAAGGTCTGCACCACAGTTCTGCTGGCAAAACATTGTTTGAAATGACAGAACAGGTCACAGGAGCAACCACCACCACAACACAAATGAATCCTGCACTCAGCATAAGGAGAAAGTGGAATATGAGAGGAAATCTCAGCAGCCCAGCTGAAAGCCTGTGTTGCAGAGCACCATCAGGACCTCAGCCTGTTTCCTCTCAAACTAGCCTGGAAAAGTACAGGGCAAGTGAAGCAACAGCTGCTAATGCTTGTTCTTCCAGGTATGTGGGAGTTCTAAGCAAGCACTTGGCATCACAGATAAGATGCACTCAGCTCAAGTGCTTCATTGATTCTCCAGTACACAGCATGTCTCAGACTCTTACAACCATAACTGAGCCCTAAGAATCACAAGACAGAGAAAAGAGGGAACCTGCTAAATGAGTGTATAAAGCATTATGGTTCTTTTATTTAATCTGAAATAACCATGTTTCTCATTAAAGTTACTTTTGTGATAGTTCCACATAATATACATAACAAAAAACTCCTTTTGAAAAGTTTCCAAAGTGAAAGAAAAAAAAGTGCTGGACATAGAGTATAGGAGGAGTCAGGAAACAAGAAAGTAATCACGTCCAAAAGCATATTATTTTCAAATTGCTGCTGAAGAAGATAATGCCATCACTGAAATCGATGACAGTGATTCAGCTGAAGAACTGTAGATGAAGTCGTGTGATACAAATGTGATGAGTGAAAGTGGAGTGATTGAAGTGGGATATGTAATGATGAATTTGAAACCAGGATGTCTAGTGAAGTCAGCTTCTGCCACTACACAGTTCTATAATGCAATTGGAACCAGAAGGATATGGCACGTAAAACAAAGGGAGATAATCTCATTTTTATTTCAATTACACATCAAGAATAACTATGTAGAAATACTAGATTTAAGTTAGCTCCATTGTTTTGGCTTTTTTTCAGTAGTTCCTCCTCTATTTTCCTCAACATCTTAATTTTAGCTGGCAGTCTTTGTAGCAAGAGCTTGCAACATATATCCACTTACTTTCCTATTGAATTTTGGTCGAAAACAAAAGATTCCCTGGAATTTTCAACACATGATGATGTTTTCAGGTAAGTGCAATTTTGGTATTGTTCCTGTTCCCAGTCACCTCTAGCTAGTAGTATTAAGTCACTGTCTTAGAATTCAAGATAGCCGCCTCAAAGCCACTGAAGGAAATGGATATATTCTTGGCAATTCACTCTGCTCTGGACCTATTTTAGTTAACTTTCTTGAAAACCTATTACCCAGAAAGTCTGTCTTTTAATCAATTGCCAGTTTGGAAATACCACATTCTTATGTTGGGTTGTTTGAGAGGCATTTATGGCGTACTGCTATACACGGGCAGTATACTAAGAAATATCAGACTGTGAGGGTGCTAGTACTGATACTCAGATCATGGTTTTCAGCAATTCTTTCTCACTTCAGGAAACAGTTTTATTCTGAAACATGACTAGGAGACATTAGCTCCACAGTCAAATTTTCCGTGTGTATTTCAGCTGTTATCTGAGAAGTTTACTCTCTAAATTCGGGTTTACTTTCAAAATTGAGGTTTTACTCATTTTTAAATCTGGTTAGCATTGTAGAATTACAAAAAAATCCAAGAGAAAGCCAAGTTCTATTCTCAGTGCATCATTCACTGAACTGTTAAACTCTCCGTGGGAAACTATTTTTGGACTTGTACAAGCTGCCTCCACTTGATTTTTCTTAGAGGCAACTTAGCAAAAACTCAGTTTTTTAAGTAAGAATATTTGAGAGCTGAGAATATTTGTTCACTAAAAGACAGAAAAATGGATCCCCCAATGACATTCATGAAATCATTTTCTATGGTTAGAAATGCAGCACTTCTTTGTCTTCTTTTGCTTTTTATACAAAAAACCATCCCTATTTTTATAGCTTAAGTTCTTGATTGACAGCCCTGCTGTACACTGATCCATTTAGTCAGATAACAAGAACACAATGCACCACATTTGAAGCTTCCTCATCAGGAATACTCCACATCAGGGTGCCTCATTTATGCCTATATAATTCCATGTATCTAGAGAGCAGCACAGTAGTTCATTTCTATATCTGTTCAATACTTCTCCTGAAAGCTGCCACTGAAAATGTCAGTTAATGTCAGCTAGATTGCAGCCTGAGATGGTGACATATATCCATTAGGAACTGGCTTTCAGACTGCCTCCTCATCTACAATTGTTAGCAGTGTAAGACCTATATGTAGATCACCCAGATAAAGCTAGCAGGTGGCTAGCTAGGTGGCTAACTAGACAAAAGCTTGCAATCATTTCTTATCCAGTTTCTAGGGACTGTTTTTTGCTTTATTTTTTCCTCAGATAAAGTATGAAATTCAAGATGTTCTAAAAAATATATCTTACTCAACAAATTTTTGTCCTCATTCTCTCATCAGATTTCATTTTCCCCAGGGCTAGAGGCAGAAAACAGCCAGAAACTGAGAGAACTTGCACACATGCATTTACTTCCTAGTACAATCTAGCAGCTGAACACTGAAAATGGTAGTACTGAAAATGTCTGAAATGCAAGTGTTAAAATAGTCAGAAAATATTTTTAATATTTTCAAAGGAAGACTTAAGTGAAGAGAACTTTAAAGCATCTTTTTAAAGTAAATAGCATGATCTATAAGACCACCAATAAGGACTGACAGCCTTTTATGCTGCCAGCAGCATCACACTTCACTGAACACTTCACAGATGTGTGATTTTCCCTTTAAATTGCACTATATAGTTGGTATTTTGTTCTCAGTTAACAATAGTCTTCTTACTACAAACTGTGTAGTATGGTGTCTAGTCTGCATATGGTGATCAACAGAAAAGATTACCAGAGCACACGTTTCTGATATGAGTAAACAAGACAATGAATCTTGAGTTTGGAGGAACATGCTCATTGCCTACACAACATCAGCAGAGCTCTTGAAGCAACATTTTGGCATAGTATCAGGTTTGAATAGGTCACGAAGAAAGCAAGGCTTCATGCATCATGCCATCATACACACAGGAGTGAAAACCAAATCTGGGATTGCATTTGTTTTCAATCTTACTGCTACTGAATGCACGCAACATTTAGTGTTTTCTTTACTGAGTTTCACAGCCAAGATCACCATGAATATAAGTGTCTGAAAACTAACCCTTAAGACTGGGTGGATGAGTTAGGCTTGGAAGAGGATTGTGTAGCATTTTGACGTATTACATTATTCATCTGTTTATCTTAGGCCTCTACCAACTCATTATAAAGGGTGAATTCACTTTCACAATTTTTAATCGTAACTCCTGATAAAAATCTATTGTAAATCAAAACTAGATTAGCCCTTGTATAATTCAGCCAGAGCTTCTCAAATTGAGTTCAACATCAGCTAAAACAAGGTCAGCAGTCTCTAATAGCCAGAAAAGGAAATATTTTAATGTCTTAAATTTAATTTGACCTATTCACCTAGATAAATACTTTAATTACTGAGAAGTGGCTGTTCATATGGAGGAAGGAATGAGTAACCATTAAAATGAGCTGATATTTTCCCCCCTGTGAGAAAATAGTTAAGCATGAGCATCTTCTACATAAAGCCTACTTTTTGAATTCTGTACCATATTTGTGAAAGTAGAGCTTTTAAACCTGCTGCCACTGATCTGTGCCAGCTGAGGTAACTAGCTCAGTCCTTCCTCGCAGAAACAGCTTTGTGTTGTACTCTGCTTAAACTGTATATCTTCTATACCAAATAACACATTCTAGCTGTGCACTCCTAAAAAGCTTTAGAGTTCGACTACAAAAATAGTTCTTGTTAGCAGTTAATTAAATGACTCCGCATGAACCGTTAGTGTGAAATGAAAGGTTAGTTATTAGGTTTAATCTCTTTCAGAGTACTTTTTGGATTCACTGCATATTGCGTACATGTAATGGCTTTGTTCTCTACACTTTGTACAATTATTTTAGAAAACAATAAATTTAAACAGATAAGTGAAAATCATTGGAAAATGTAGTGTTATTTGCAGAACGCATACCGACAGCTGAAAGCACTGATGTGCTTTCTTCTCCCCCTCTTTTTTTTTAAAAAAAAAAAAAAAAAATGTGTCACTGTGCAAATTCCTATTTAGAAAGCTTTGTACTACCCACAGAGTTGGTTTTTGTGAATACTCATTGTTAGCTGTTTTAAGGTTTTTCTGTAGGTATATAATTTTACAACTATTATATTATTTCAAGTATTTTCAAGTTCAGTCTACATGTATTCTGCACCCCTTTTCAGATACTTAAATTATCTATTAAAAAGTATTTACTATTTTAAAATCATATTTATATGACTGTACTTAGAACATAGATATGTTTTAAAGAAGTGGAGCTTTCTACTGCCTCAAGCAAGAAATGGGTATCAGATTCAGCTACAGATTCTTTTGTTATGCCAGCCCCTTTTCTCACCTGCTCCTGATTTCACAAGTAGTTCTACTGAAGTGAATAAAACAATGCAGGGAATATATTTATTTTAAACATGTATAAAGGCCAAATTAATGTTTAATATAATGTTCAAAACAAAGACCTCAGTGGCTGTAAGACAAATGTGATTACATGTGAATATCAGAGTCGTTTTGTTGTCTACTTTTGCAAAGTTGTTCAGACTTGCATTAAACACCACACTTTCAGTTGTCTTGTGTCAGCATATTATAAATGCAATAACAGTTGAAAAATCCATCTGCCCTTGGAATTGGGTTTGGGCTGGAAAGAGTAAAATTCTATTTCTCCATCGAATAAATTTCAACATTTTCACCTGTTTTTCAGGTTTACGTGGTGCAATAGCTTTTGCATTGGCTATTCGAGACACAGAATCCCAACCCAAACAAATGATGTTCACAACAACACTGCTTATTGTGTTTTTCACAGTCTGGGTATTTGGTGGAGGCACAACACCAATGCTCACATGGCTTCAGATCAGGTTAGTACTCTTTTTACAATAATAACCATAAAAACAATGTAATCACTATGATCAGTCACTGATTTCCTACAGCTTTCTGAAACTCACATTCTTTTTAACAGTTGGGAAGCACAAAGCAAGTACTTGGCTACCTGTTAGAAGTAGGTTCAGACCACAAGGAATAAGTTCTTCCCAACTTTATTAAGGATTTGGACCTTGGTCAGAACATCCTTATTTCCTCAGAATTTGCTTCACTAGCGGTGTTTCTAAATACTGTGAGTAAATGAAGCGGTGTCCTCCTCACTACAGAAGAAATTGCTATGAAGGAAGCTCTTGCTCTAAATTATAAATGTGCATTCTTTATACAGTCATCATATGTGACGCATTTCTGATTTTACTATGAATATATTAAGAAATCTACCTACACTGTTGCATCATTCAGCTATTCATTTATTGCTCATTATCTTATATATTTGCTCCTTAATAGTAAGATTTTCTCAACAACTTGATAGTCATTTGTAACGACAAAGTAGGTTAAATGAGAAGAGGATGAGGAAGCTGAGACAGCATATTTAATTTAAATACAGTGCCCTGCCCAAGATGCCTTTTTGAAACCTTACTTTTCAGCAAGAGCCTGATGTTTGGGTTATGTCATTATTTAGACCTTCCTGCCACGGTTCATAACGCCACCAAGAAAATCTCTATACAAGTTCAGTTTGTATTTCACAATTTCTTATCATTTACCCTACATATAACATACACTTTTGCTTATTTATAAAATGATGTCTGATTAACAAGCTTCTGCATCTTACTGTTGTTATAAAATGCCAGCTGAATACAACTAAGTTGACGTTTTAATAAAGAACAGATATAAAAGCAGACAAAAGAAGTAGACTAAAATGCACTACATAAACATAAAATGCAGGCATCTGTACACAGCGAGGGGGCTTTCCATTTCTTTGATCAATTTTCTTCATGATATCTCTCTGTGATGTCAATTAAATTGATTGGGTTTAGATAAACACCTCTATCAGCCACCTTCCTAAGATTAGAAATTTATTCACTGTCGCATCAGAGTTGCTTTATACAGAAACAGAAATGTGGGCAAGGAAGAATAATCCCACTAGATCTTGAGAACTTTGTCACGATAGTAGGAGGTTAAGAAATAAGTTCGAAAATATAAGGTCCAATTTAAGTGTTGCCAGTTGTGTAGTGCAGTAATAAACTTTCTGAGCATAAAGGTTTATGTACAGTCTTTGCATTACCAGCTGGCTTTCTGAGAGAATAACTGATTACCCCCATCACTAAGTAATACTTTTTTTTTTCGTTTGTTTATCTGAGAATCATTTCTAGAAAAGATATCTACTTCATAAGTAGAATATACTGCTCCAGCCAGACCATGAGTAAGCCTGCTCCAGTGTACAAGAATAATATCATGACACATCAACAGCAATACAAAGATATCTATTTAAGCATGAGTTCACAGTCAAATTGAAGTACTCAATAAATGTGCCTTCAGAGATGTTGAGTATTATCTGCTAATGCCTTTGGATGTATGTCTCCCCTCATTCCTCATATTCTGATTGAAAATAGCAAGCCACATTTTACAGTAAATCTGCAATGAGTGGTTTGGGGATAAAGGACTCTCGAGACAGGCAGAAAAGACATACAAAGCTGTTAATAAAACGCGTCCTGTGAAAGTATTGTTGTGATAGGTATTAGGTCTGGCTTGTTTATTATCACCTCCTGTGCAAATGTTTGTCAAGGGATTTTCAGATTCCTTGTACATCTTTCTGTAGCAACTCTTTGGTGAATAAGGTTTTTAATCCATATTCCAAATAAATACTAAGCACCATTGAATAATAACTTTTAATACTATACATATCAGGCCATTGCCTTTGGTATGTATTTTACAGACTGACTATATCTACGTGCCTGGCTACCCCTGAAATATGCTATATTGAGTTTACTTAAAGCTTCAGTTCTAGACCTTCAACTTCCTCTAAATACCTTTGCCAGAGGCCTGGCATAGCAGATTTATTTTTTTTTTTTTAAGATGACCAATACTGCACAGATTCTTATTCTCACCAGAAGCATCTCCTCAATGAGTTACTCTATGAAAAAGCTTCAACTCAGGAAATGAAGTTTATCAAAACAAACTATTCTCCTCATACTGAGTACCCATGCACTCATTACTCCATAGCAATGACCATTAGTCCATAGCAATACCTATGTAACGTAACAGAAAACACAGAAACAACAGCAGAGCAGCAAGGTCCCAGGCTACTTACTCAAATACAACACCCATAAACAGAAAAATAAAGGAAAGAAGCTACTTACTTTCAGAAGGTCTCAAGAAGATCTCACAGGGATGTCCAGCAAGAAGCCCTCACTTCCACTACCAACCCTTCAGTGAGGTCTGTAAGAGGTGCATCCTGGCTCCACCTCTTCTGGTCACTCAGGAACATTGCATGCACCTGAGCTCCCGTGGATTGGCCCTGCCCTCCCACCAGGTGCTCAATCACTGCTTCAAGCCGTGACTCAGCATTTCCACTATAGAGCCACACTTTCAGATTTGCTCCCAGATGTTTCCCAGAGCTCTGCTTGTTCTCTCCACTGTTCAGATTTCAACTTTATAACTACCTTCGCCTATTTTTTATTGTACCTCTAATTAAAACTAAATCTAAAAATGCCAAGGTATGCTTTCATAACTTTCTTTGTATGGACAAAGGCAGAAGATTCATACTATGCTGGCATAAATGAAGCATAGCTTACTGTAATCAAGAATTTCAGCGTACAAAAAAAATCAGTAAAAATAATTTAATGGATCTTACAAGGATAGGAGGTGAGAACTCATGTCCTATGAACCAAATGTCTTCACACCTAACTGCTTGGAGTAGATAAGTAAAGAGGCTCCAGAGAGTTCCGTCATTGTTCCAGAGACTCTTCTCTGTTTTGTAAAGTTAATCTTGCTCAATGACTACAGGAGCAGCATGCAAGTAAACCAGAAGAAATATTGTTATCATAATGAAAAAAAAAGTGCAATCTGCAACGTTAAGAACATACTCCACCATCCAGACTTAAGAGCCGTGAGGAAAAGGACAAAACTGTTACAGATGTGTAGATAAATCTCTATCAATTATGTGAAAACACTGAAGTCAACAGCTTTCTCAATTATGCATTTGGTCCTTCTATCCATTCTTCATGTGCTGAATCACTCGATCAACCCAAATATATAGTCCTTGTAGGGATTTATCCTTATCCGTCTTTATTGCAAATTTGTATCGAGTAACACTAACAGAATATAACAAATCAGACTAAGAATTGCAGAAAGACGTGATTAGAGGAACTGTCACCAACTCATATTATACTGCTATGCTGGCAAAATTAACTTTTTGAAGTTTTAAGGTTTTTTTCTTCCACTTTCAGAAGTTACAATATAAAGCATCAACAGTCTGGATTATTTTGTGGAGTTTTCCATGTGGTGTGGCTATAGCAATGTTTTCTAAATTAAAAAAATTTATATAAGGCTGCATTCAAAATGTTTTGAGAATCTGACTTAGCTGTTTATGCTTTTAAATACAGCCAACTGTTTGACTGTAGCTCATCTGAAACACAGAATTACGACATTACTCAGTGTTAGGGTGTAAAAGTTGGAAGATCAAACCATTGCTAGCTCCTAAATTCCCACCTATATCCATATTTCACAAATCCACAATAGGAAATGAATGTTCAGTGTACATAAGCAAACAAGAGATACGAACCAGAAGAGTACAATGCCATGGGAGTACTGATTTATCTCTTTACAATTAAAATATTTATTGGATCACTTATTATTCCAAGAAGTCAAAATTTTAGATCCTTCAGTAGTCAACTCTTTAATCCACAACATCTGAGAATCATCTTCTTGATCTACAAAAATGATTTAGGAACAGCTAATACAGTCTGTATTTTTTTTACCAGAATATCTCATTAGGGATGCAGGTGAGCAGCAGGGTGAGAAAATGGGCTAAATGCTGTGGCTTGACATCTTGTAACCATGGCAGTGTCTGTCTAGCAGAAAAAAAACCTGATTGTTAGAGTAAGATTCTGTGCTTAACCCAGTCTTTTATCAACTGGTTATAAAATGCTAAAAGAGAGAACTTTCTGATGGAGCACCTGGAGTTACAACATGACATTGGCCAATATATTAAGTGTTTCAGTAACAGAAATATTCTGCAGAGAGGCAGTTTACAATGCCACAGTGGTACCACTCCTAGCTGCCAAGTGGGAAGCTTTCATCAGATTTGGTCAGTACTTTAGGCTTCCAATACTGCTAAAAGACAACTTGTCTTTCTGCTTCCCAGCAGAGACCCGCAAATTTAAAACACAATATTGTGGGCAGTGGAAAGAATTCTGCATTACCTAAAACGATAAGGTGGTTGTGGTAAGAAATTTAGGGGCTGAAATGGAAAACATATGGCTGAGCCTCAGGGCTCTTAACAGGCAGCGCTGAGGAGGACCCTTTTTTTCTAACACAGCCTAAGAATGAAGATGAATGCACATTCTGATCTAAGAATTTACAGACTTTTAGGCAAAGTGGATGATGCTGCCTAAATTTGCTGAGCTGTGGGCACACAGCTGGAATCATGCATTACTTAGCACTGTGCCAGTGACCTAACCATTATCAGAACCTGTTCGCTATCACCTTTAACTTGATTAGAAACAAAGTAAGGTTTCTTCTATCTCTACCCAGGCTGCGGTTCTGCGTCTTTACTTGGTAATGAGGAAGAACCTTTACAAACAGTGAGATAGAAACAACATGCAATTCTCTGTTCTGTGGGTAAGAAATAGACAGCACCAGTCTCTAGTACTTGCAGCTTTAAGATGGTATAGCACAGCAAACTCAGGCAGAAGTCACACCAATCTCAGCCTTAAATTCATCTGAAAGCACTGACACAATCTAGACAACTTCTCATCCCAGTGTTTTAAAAGCAAACTGTACTGAGCCCTTTTTATTGCTTGCCAGCTGGTCACTGAGC